GGGAACTGACCCCAACCCTGGCACGGGCATCGGTTTTGTAGGTAAACACCCCACCCATATAGAGGAGAGAGGCTATGTAGGGACATTAGGGCCACCAGGAACGTCATTTGAATTCAGAAATGTAATTTTAGTTCTATTTCTGCTGGTAGTAATATTAGCCTGGGAGCCAGTCTGTTTCTGCACTCTTCACAACTCCATATGGAACTGTCTTGCAAAACATGGTTTGGCTTGACAATGGAGTAGGCAAAAACAAAAACAGATCTGGGACCAGGCTATAGTAATATTCCTCCATAAGAGGCAGATCTGGGACCAGGCTTTAGTAATATTACTCCATAAGAGGCAGATCTGGGACCAGGCTATAGTAATATTACTCCATAAGAGGCAGATCTGGGACCAGGCTTTAGTAATATTACTCCATAAGAGGCAGATCTGGGACCAGGCTTTAGTAATATTACTCCATAAGAGGCAGATCTGGGACCAGGCTTTAGTAATATTACTCCATAAGAGGCAGATCTGGGACCAGGCTTTAGTAATATTATGGACTTGTTAAGCATGGCATCTAGCTGCAGCATCCACGTGGGGATTGTCGGGTTACATTACACCTCCCATGGTTGGGTTTCAATTCCATTTTTAATGCAGTCAATAAATCCAGGAAATACATTTCAGTTTACTTCCTGGATTGACTGGACCGAAATGGAATGGACCCCAACCCTGACATCTAACGGTTCTAGCCTTTGTTAGCCTCAACATTTACACACATCACTGTTCCTCTGCCTAAAGCAGGTGGTGTATCTCATAGAGACAGAGGATATACATGAAGGGGTTAATATGGAACAAGCAGACCTCAGCAGAACAGACATATACTACTACTGATAATGACGACGTAGCTACATACGTAAGGCATAGTAATCATTTTGGTTGGGACTATATTAAATGAAGTAGTAAGCCATGCATTGTGTTGAAGTAAGAGGCAGCTTGGTGTGTACAGGCTTTAATGTGACGGACTGTGACAACACTGGACAACGTGATAAGAGCCAGACCAGACCTGGGAAAAGTACATCTCTGTGTCTAAAATACTTTTTAAAACTTCATATTTTGAGAAAAGTTTTTTTTTTTTTTTGTTGAAGTATTTCAAAGTATTTTGAGGTGCGCATGATTTAGTCTTGGTTGGTTTGCACTTTTGGGACTATTCTGTTGGTCCCATTGTACAAGGCAAACCCGAATCAGCTCAAGTATTTAGAAGTATTTGACCCAGGTCTGTCTGGTGATAGCTGGAGCTATATAGAGGGTGGTTGGCCGGTAAGTAGGTACGTTCTATGGTAGATGGGCGTAGCGGTGGTTAATTGGCCAGTGGGTACGTTCTATGGTAGATGGGCGTAGCGGTGGTTAACTGGCCAGTGGGTACGTTTTATGGTAGATGGGCGTAGCGGTGGTTAATTGGCCAGTGGGTACGTTCTATGGTAGATGGGCGTAGCGGTGGTTAATTGGCCAGTGGGTACGTTCTATGGTAGACGGGCGTAGCGGTGGTTAACTGGCCAGTGGGTACGTTCTATGGGTGTAGCGGTGGTTAGTAGAGTTATTGGATTATAATGAGTGGTAGAGGGAGGCACTGAGAGTGAAGAGCAGCTAACCTAAATAACGTGACCCAGTATATGGATTTGGCACCCTATTCCCTATATAGTGCACTACTTTTCACAAAAGCCCTATGAGCCCTGGTCAAAAGTAGTGAACTAATAGGGAATAGGGTGCCAATTGGGACAAAGATCCAATCTATGGATTTAAAACACAATGTTTTACTAACAGATGCTTCTCGACATGAGTGCAAACTGATAGACATTCTGATTATGAACACATCTCATTATAACTAGACCAGCAATACAAAGCTAGATTACCACCTTGATTCCTATTGAATAGTGTCTGTCAGCAATTCATTTCATGACATATCTTTTTCACAGTTTGATATTTCGTCAAATAAAATTATTTCGACTAATATTCTCTGGTGTCTGACTGTCGCTGCATAGAATATACTATAGCATCACATTTACACTAGATGTTATACATGCATATTCAAGAGAAGTTATTACTTGAAGAGAAATACCTAGAACGTGTTGGTTAGTCGGTGGGCCAGAACACTACAGATCATTATTCTGTCGTTTGATCATGTTGAAAATAGGAACCTCATTTGTAATTTGACTGACTAATGCTATTTCAATTCCGGTCAATTCACAAAGTAAAACAGAAATACCTATTCTCTCTAACGCTTTTCAATTAGGAAAATGTGCAATTGGAATGAGGTTTACTTTCTGAGTTGACTGGAATTTAAATGGAATTGACCCCAAACCCTGACTGACTATAACACTAGTCACTTTCTTCCTGCTACAGAAATCTCAAACTATATTTTGAAAGACATCTCTAACTATGTACTCTCAATGTATCCAAGAGAGTTCAGAAATGTTAAATGGACAAACTTCTATATTATTTTTACCACGGTCACCATCTAGCCTAATGAATGCTCTGGGCAATGGCAGTGTTCCACATTCAGAGAGTTATGATAACTCAGTCATAAATTCAGTCAGAGAGTTATGATAACTCAGTCATAAATTCAGTCAGAGTTATGATAACTCAGTCATAAATTCAGTCAGAGTTATGATAACTCAGTCATAAATTCAGTCAGAGTTACAATAACTCAGTCATAAATTCAGTCAGAGTTATGATAACTCAGTCATAAATTCAGTCAGAGAGTTATGATAACTCAGTCATAAATTCAGTCAGAGAGTTATGATAACTCAGTCATAAATTCAGTCAGAGTTATGATAACTCAGTCATAAATTCAGTCAGAGTTACGATAACTTCCAGTTTACTCATCCATAAATTCAGTCAGAGTTATGATAACTCAGTCATAAATTCAGTCAGAGTTATGATAACTCAGTCATAAATTCAGTCAGAGAGTTATGATAACTCAGTCATAAATTCAGTCAGAGAGTTATGATAACTCAGTCATAAATTCAGTCAGAGTTATGATAACTCAGTCATAAATTCAGTCAAAGTTATGATAACTCAGTCATAAATTCAGTCAGAGTTATGATAACTCAGTCATAAATTCAGTCAGAGTTATGATAACTCAGTCATAAATTCAGTCAGAGTTATGATAACTCAGTCATAAATTCAGTCAGAGAGTTACGATAACTCAGTCATAAATTCAGTCAGAGTTATGATAACTCAGTCATAAATTCAGTCAAAGTTATGATAACTCAGTCATAAATTCAGTCAGAGTTATGATAACTCAGTCATAAATTCAGTCAGAGAGTTACGATAACTCAGTCATAAATTCAGTCAGAGTTATGATAACTCAGTCATAAATTCAGTCAAAGTTATGATAACTCAGTCATAAATTCAGTCAGAGTTATGATAACTCAGTCATAAATTCAGTCAGAGAGTTATGATAACTCAGTCATAAATTCAGTCAGAGAGTTATGATAACTCAGTCATAAATTCAGTCAGAGAGTTATGATAACTCAGTCATAAATTCAGTCAGAGAGTTATGATAACTCAGTCATAAATTCAGTCAGAGAGTTATGATAACTCAGTCATAAATTCAGTCAGAGAGTTATGATAACTCAGTCATAAATTCAGTCAGAGAGTTATGATAACTCAGTCATAAATTCAGTCAGAGAGTTATGATAACTCAGTCATCTTTTAAACCAAGATAAAAACATGAAGTGATGTCATCATCATAACATGCAAAGCTGACCTGCCACAGACTGACTGTAAACAAAGTGACAAACAATCTGTGTTCCAAATGGTACTCTATTCCTTACATAGTGCACTACATTTGACCATATTCCCTATGGGCCCTGGTACAAAAAGTAGTGCACTATATACTGTAGGGAATAAGGTTCCATTTGGGATCACGGTTAAAGTATTTTACAAAGCTGTTGTTCCTCTACATGTCGGGTAGTTTGATGCCTGCCCCCCTGTCTGTCCATGGCATGGTTTGAAGCCATCAGCAAACAGATCTAATGCACAAGTCTTTACTTAGCTATTTACAGCAATCAGATAAATCGTCCAACTCCACGTATAACAAGGGACCAGGGAGCACACGTTCTATCTAGTACACTGCTTAATACATCCACGTGGTTGAAAACCTCCCATTACGTTGTACTAGAGAGAGGGGGAGGGAGCTAGGCTAACTGGTGGGAGGGGGGTCGTAGACAGAGACACATCAGAGCATTCTCAGTGTGCTTTAAATACATACACATTAGTAGTAAATATGATACAATATTTGGAAAAAAAAAAACGTTTAAAAAAAAGATGGGTAAAAATCAAGGAACACACAAAATGGAAGAAGTCATAAATTGAAGAAAATGAAAAAAAAAATCACAATCATATATTAAGACATTTCTGTGTAAGACATGTCAGCGCATCAACAGTATTACATCTAAGTGATAGATAGAAATGCCTTCCTGTCTGAAAAAGGCTCAGCTGGGGAACACACTACTACAGACACTGACTAGGCTTCTCAGATCATGATCAGTAAGGGAGAGGAGGAGGGAGGGAGAGGGGGAGAGGAGGAGGGAGGGAGAGGGGGAGAGGAGGGAATGGAGGGGAGGGGGGGGGGGGGAGAATGGAGGAGGGGACTACTCCTATGAAACTGAGTAAGTTAGTGGGTGCAGCCAGTTTACCTCACCTAAAATGTGCACATTTGAGAGACCATTTCATTGGTTCTAAAGTGAAATCTCCACCCAAACGGGGCACCAGGCAAGCTAAAACAAGGTGGGTGTACAGGGTATATGAGGGGATAGAGGTGGGGGTAAAGGGTATATGAGGGGGTAGAGGTGGGGGTAAAGGGTATATGAGGGGGTAGAGGTGGGGGTACAGGGTATATGAGGGGGTAGAGGTGGGGGTAAAGGGTATATGAGGGGGTAGAGGTGGGGGTAAAGGGTATATGAGGGGGTAGAGGTGGGGGTAAAGGGTATATGAGGGGGTAGAGGTGGGGGTACAGGGTATATGAGGGGGTAGAGGTGTAGTGGTACGGTGGTAACGTGGGCAGGGCTAGATGTTCTGACAGCACTGCATCTTTGGTTTGTTCTCAGTGGGCTGCACCTGGATGTTGACCACATTGTTGCTAGGAGACATGTCGCTCTCCTGACGTTCTGACATCTGCTTCTGAGAGACAATACGATAGATTTCTGATGGAGGAGAGAGGGAGGAAGAGAGGGGGGAAGAGAGGGGAGGAGAGGGAGAGAGGAAGAGAGGGGAGGGGAGGGAGAGGGAGGAAGAAAGAGAAGAGAGGGAGGGAGAGAGAGAGAGAGAGAGAGGGAAGGAGGGAGAGAGAAGATTAGGTCATATCCAGTCTGTCTTGCCAAGATAGCAGATCAAATCAACAGATGTGACATTAAAAAAATGACATTCACACACACACACCTGTCAGAATGGTCTGGAAAGCAGTTTCAACATTGGTGGAATCCAGGGCTGACGTCTCAAGGAAAGACAAACCGTTTTTCTCTGAGGGGAAAAAAAACAACGTAAGAAAATAACTTAGAGACTGTACCAGTTATGGAACATTACAGACTGTACCAGGCTGTACCAGTTACGGAATATTAGAGACTGTACCAGGCTGTACCAGTTATGGAACATTACAGACTGTACCAGGCTGTACCAGTTACGGAATATTAGAGACTGTACCAGGCTGTACCAGTTATGGAACATTACAGACTGTACCAGGCTGTACCAGTTACGGAATATTAGAGACTGTACCAGTTATGGAACATTCCACAGGAATGAATGCAAGCATAAAAAGTGCTATTAAACATACATTTTTGTGAGTCAGCAGCATCATAAATTAAGGAAAGTATAAAACAGAAATGTATACAGCTTCTTCTGTGCCTGACACTCCTTCAGAATGGCGCAGCATCTCTAACCTGCAAATGCTCGTGCCTCGTCGGTGGGCACTGCCCTGAGGTGGCGCAGGTCACTCTTGTTGCCCACTAGCATGATGACGATGTTGGTGTCTGCATGGTCTCTCAGCTCCTTCAACCACCGCTCCACATTTTCATAGGTCAGGTGCTTGGCGATGTCATAGACCAGCAGGGCCCCCACCGCTCCTCGGTAGTACCTGCACCATGACATCATCAACAGGGGACAAAGAGGCATGGTCAATTTGATCCATAAAAGTCAGCGTACCTATATAGCCCTTTAACAACAGTGCACAAAGAGCTTTACAGTACCCAGGTCTAGACCCTCAGAGCTTTACAGTACCCAGGTCTAGACCCTCAGAGAGCTTTACAGTACCCAGGTCTAGACCCTCAGAGCTTTACAGTACCCAGGTCTAGACCCTCAGAGCTTTACAGTACCCAGGTCTAGACCCTCAGAGCTTTACAGTACCCAGGTCTAGACCCTCAGAGCTTTACAGTACCCAGGTCTAGACCCTCAGAGAGCTTTACAGTACCCAGGTCTAGACCCTCAGAGCTTTAGCGTACCCAGATCTAGACCCTCAGAGCTTTACAGTACCCAGGTCTAGACCCTCAGAGCTTTACAGTACCCAGGTCTAGACCCTCAGAGAGCTTTACAGTACCCAGGTCTATACCCTCAGAGCTTTAGCGTACCCAGGTCTAGACCCTCAGAGAGCTTTACAGTACCCAGGTCTAGACCCTCAGAGCTTTACAGTACCCAGGTCTAGACCCTCAGAGCTTTACAGTACCCAGGTCTAGACCCTCAGAGCTTTACAGTACCCAGGTCTAGACCCTCAGAGCTTTACAGTACCCAGGTCTAGACCCTCAGAGAGCTTTACAGTACCCAGGTCTAGACCCTCAGAGCTTTACAGTACCCAGGTCTAGACCCTCAGAGCTTTACAGTCCCCAGGTCTAGACTCTCAGAGCTTTATAGTACCCAGGTCTAGACCCTCAGAGCTTTACAGTACCCAGGTCTAGACCCTCAGAGCTTTACAGTACCCAGGTCTAGACCCTCAGAGCTTTACAGTACCCAGGTCTAGACCCTCAAAGGGCTTTACAGTACCCAGGTCTAGACCCTCAAAGAGCTTTACAGTACCCAGGTCTAGACCCTCAAAGAGCTTTACAGTACCCAGGTCTAGACCCTCAGAGCTTTACAGTACCCAGGTCTAGACCCTCAGAGCTTTAAGTACCAGGTCTGACCTCGAGCTTTAATACCGTCTAGACCCTCAGAGCTTTACAGTACCCAGGTCTAGACCCTCAGAGCTTTACAGTACCCAGGTCTAGACCCTCAGAGAGCTTTACAGTACCCAGGTCTAGACCCTCAGAGCTTTAGGTACCCAGGTCTAGACCCTCAGAGCTTTACAGTACCCAGGTCTAGACCCTCAGAGCTTTACAGTACCCAGGTCTAGACCCTCAGAGCTTTACAGTACCCAGGTCTAGACCCTCAGAGAGCTTTACAGTACCCAGGTCTAGACCCTCAGAGCTTTACAGTACCCAGGTCTAGACCCTCAGAGCTTTACAGTACCCAGGTCTAGACCCTCAGAGCTTTACAGTACCCAGGTCTAGACCCTCAGAGCTTTACAGTCCCAGGTCTAGACCTCAGAGCTTTACAGTACCCAGGTCTAGACCCTCAGAGCTTTACAGTACCCAGGTCTAGACCCTCAGAGCTTTACAGTACCCAGGTCTAGACCCTCAGAGCTTACAGTACCGTTAACCCAAAGAGCTTTACATACCCAGGTCTAGACCCTCAAGAGCTTTACAGTACCCAGGTCTAGACCCCTCAAAGAGCTTTACAGTACCCAGGTCTAGACCCTCAAGAGCTTTACAGTACCCAGGTCTAGACCTCAGAGCTTTACAGTACCCAGGTCTAGACCCTCAGAGCTTTACAGTACCCAGGTCTAGACCCTCAGAGCTTTACAGTACCCAGGTCTAGACCCTCAGAGAGCTTTACAGTACCCAGGTCTAGACCCTCAGAGCTTTACAGTACCCAGGTCTAGACCCTCAGAGCTTTACAGTACCCAGGTCTAGACCCTCAGAAGCTTTACAGTCCCAGGTCTAGACCCTCAGAGCTTTATAGTACCCAGGTCTAGACCCTCAGAGCTTTACAGTACCCAGGTCTAGACCCTCAGAGCTTTACAGTACCCAGGTCTAGACCCTCAGACCCTCAAGAGCTTTACAGTACCCAGGTCTAGACCCTCAGAGCTTTAACAGTACCCAGGTCTAGACCCTCAGAGCTTTACAGTACCCAGGTCTAGACCCTCAGAGCTTTACAGTACCCAGGTCTAGACCCTCAGAGCTTTACAGTACCCAGGTCTAGACCCTCAGAGCTTTACAGTACCCAGGTCTAGACCCATCAGAGCTTTACAGTACCCAGGTCTAGACCCTCAGAGCTTTACAGTACCCCAGGTCTAGACCCTCAGAGCTTTACAGTACCCAGGTCTAGACCCTCAGAGAGCTTTACAGTACCCCAGGTCTAGACCCTCAGAGCTTTACAGTACCCAGGTCTAGACCCTCAGAGCTTTACAGTACCCAGGTCTAGACCCTCAGAGCTTTACAGTACCCAGGTCTAGACCCTCAGAGCTTTACAGTACCCAGGTCTAGACCCTCAGAGCTTTACAGTACCCAGGTCTAGACCCTCAGAGCTTTACAGTACCCAGGTCTAGACCCTCAGAGCTTTACAGTACCCAGGTCTAGACCCTCAGAGCTTTAAGTTCCATAGTACCAGGTCTAGACCCTCAAAGGCTTTACGTACCCGGTCTCGACCCTCAGAGCTTTACAGTACCAGGTCTAGACCCTCAGAGCGTTACAGTACCCAGGTCTGAGCCCTCCGAGAGTTTACAGGCCCCAGGTCTAGAATCTCAGAGCTTACAGTACCCAGGGTCTAGACCCTCAGAGCTTTACAGTACCCAGGTCTAGACACTCAGAGTTACAGTACCCAGGTCTAGACCCTCAGAGCTTACAGTACCCATGGTCTAGACCTCAGAGCGTTACAGTACCCAGGTCTAGAACTAAGGCTTTACAGTATACCCAGGTCTAGACTCTCAGAGCTTTTACAGTACCAGGTTTTCTAGACCCTCAAGAGCTTTACAGTAACCCAGGTCTAGACCCTCAGCGCTTTACAGTACCCAGGTCTTAGACCCCATCAGAGCTTTTACAGTACCCAGTCTAGACCCATCAGAGCTTTACAGTACCCCAGGTTCATAGACCCTCAGAGCTTTACAGTACCCAGGTCTAGGACCCTCAGAGCTTTACAGTACACCAGGTACTAGACCCTCAAGAGGCTTTACAGTACCCAGGTCTAGTACCCCTCAGAGGCTTTTACAGTACCAGGTCTAGACCCTCAGAGCTTTACAGTACCCCAGGTCTAGACCCCTCAGAGCTTTACAGTACCCAGGTTAGACCCTCAGAGCTTTACAGTACCCAGGTCTAGACCCTCAGAGAGCTTTACAGTACCCCAGGTCTAGACCCTCAGAGCGTTACAGTACCCAGGTCTAGACCCTCAGAGCTTTACAGTACCCAGGTCTAGACCCTCAGAGCTTACAGTACCCAGGTCTAGACCTCAGAGCTTTACAGTACCCAGGTTAGACCCTCAGAAGCTTTACAGTACCCAGGTCTAGACCCTCAGAGCTTTACCAGTACCCAGGTCTAGACCCTCAGAGACTTTACAGTACCCAGGTCTAGACCCTCCAAGAGCTTTACAGTACCCAGGTCTAGACCCTCAGAGATTTACAGTACCCAGGTCTAGACCCTCAGAGCTTTACAGTACCCAGGTCTAGACCTCAGAGCTTTACAGTACCCAGGTCTAGACCCTCAGAGCTTTACAGGTACCCAGGTCTAGACCCTCAGAGCTTACAGTACCCAGGTCTAGACCCTCAGAGAGCTTTACAGTACCCAGGTCTAGACCCTCAGAGCTTTACAGTACCCAGGTCTAGACCCTCAAAGAGCTTTACAGTACCCAGGTCTAGACCCTCAGAGCTTTACAGTACCCAGGTCTAGACCCTCAGAGCTTTACAGTACCCAGGTCTAGACCCTCAGAGAGCTTTACAGTCCCCAGGTCTAGACTCTCAGAGCTTTATAGTACCCAGGTCTAGACCCTCAGAGCTTTACAGTACCCAGGTCTAGACCCTCAGAGAGCTTTACAGTACCCAGGTCTAGACCCTCAGAGCTTTACAGTACCCAGGTCTAGACCCTCAGAGCTTTACAGTACCCAGGTCTAGACCCTCAGAGCTTTACAGTACCCAGGTCTAGACCCTCAGAGAGCTTTACAGTACCCAGGTCTAGACCCTCAGAGCTTTACAGTACCCAGGTCTAGACCCTCAGAGAGCTTTACAGTACCCAGGTCTAGACCCTCAGAGCTTTACAGTACCCAGGTCTAGACCCTCAGAGCTTTACAGTACCCAGGTCTAGACCCTCAGAGCTTTACAGTACCCAGGTCTAGACCCTCAAAGAGCTTTACAGTACCCAGGTCTAGACCCTCAGAGCTTTACAGTACCCAGGTCTAGACCCTCAGAGCTTTACAGTACCCAGGTCTAGACCCTCAGAGCTTACAGTACCCAGGTCTAGACCCTCAGAGGCTTTACAGTACCCAGGTCTAGACCCTCAGAGCTTTACAGTACCCAGGTCTAGACCCTCAGAGCTTTACAGTACCCAGGTCTAGACCCTCGAGAGCTTTACAGTACCCAGGTCTAGACCCTCACAGCTTTAAGTACCAGGTCTAGACCCTCAGAGCTTTACATCCCAGGTCTAGACCCTCAGAGCTTTACAGTACCCAGGTCTAGACCCTAGAGCACTCCCAGGCAACCAAGCAATGAACCCATCACGACATGCAAGTCTGGCTGAACCCCTATCCACTAGGACATGTTAGTACTGAGTCTTTGGCTGGCCTCCTATCCACTAGGACATCTTAGTACTGAGTCTTTGGCTGGCCTCCTATCCACTAGGACATGTTAGTACTGAGTCTTTGGCTGGCCTCCTATCCACTAGGACATGTTAGTTACTGATCTTGGCTGGCCTCCTATCCACTAGGACTGTTAGTACTGAGTCTTTGGCTGAACCCCTATCCACTAGGACATGTTAGTACTGAGTCTTTGGCTGAACCCCTATCCACACAGAAAGTGGCACAGGTCCTAATCCAGGCACTTGTCATCTCCCGTCTGGATTACTGCAACTCGCTGTTGGCTGGGCTCCCTGCCTGTGCCATTAAACCCCTACAACTTATCCAGAACGCCACAGCCCGTCTGGTGTTCGACCTTCCCAAGTTCTCTCATGTCACCCCGCTCCTCCGCACACTCCACTGGCTTCCAGTTGAGGCTCGCATCTACTACAAGACCATGGTGCTTGCCTACGGAGCTGTGAGGGGAACGGCACCTCCTTACCTTCAGGCTCTGATCAGACCCTACACCCAAACGAGGGCACTACGTTCATCCACCTCTGGCCTGCTAGCTCCCCTACCTCTACAGAAGCACAGTTCCCTCTCAGCCCAGTCAAAGCTATTTGCTGCTCTGGCACCCCAATGGTGGAACAAGCTCCCCCACGACGCCAGAACAGCGGAGTCACTGACCACCTTCCGGAGACACTTGAAACCCCACCTCTTTAAGGAATACCTGGAATAGTATAAAGCAATCATTCTACCCCCCCCCTCCCCCACCCCCCCCATTAAAAAAAAGAAGAAAAAAAGTGGTTGTCCCACTTGCTATCATAAGTTGAATGCACCAATTTGTAAGTCGCTCTGGATAACCGCGTCTGCTAGATGATGCTAATGTAAATGTAATGTTAGTACTGAGTCTTTGGCTGAACCACCTTACAGATAATTGTATATGTGGGGTATTGAGATGAGGTAGTGATTCAAAAATCACGTTCAACTCTATTATTGTACAGACTGAGTCCATGCAACTTATGTGACTTGTTAAGCAAATTTTTACTCCTGAACTTAGGCTTGCCATAAAAATTATTCCACATTATTGGGGTATTGTGTGTAGGCCAGTGACACATCATCTCAATTTAATCCATTTTAAATTCAGGCTGTAACACAACAAAATGTGGCAAAAGTAAAGGGGTGTGAATACTTTCTGAAGGCAATGTAGAGGTTTTACCCTCTAGTGGCACAGGTGACATGTGATGGCAGAAATTAGGTCAAATGGATTTCAGTTTTCCTGCATTTACATCACCGGCCACTAAGAGCGCCGCCTCTGGATGAGCATTTTCTTGTTAGCATTTACATTTTAGTCATTTTAGTCACTTATCCAGAGCGACTTACAGGAGCAATTAGGGTTAAGTGCCTTGCTCAAGGGCACATCGACAGATTTTTCACCTAGTTGGCTCGGGGATTAGAACCAGCGACCTTTCGGTTACTGGCACAACGCTCTTAACCACTAAGCTACCTGCCACCCTATGTGCATATGGCTCTATACAGCTCGTTGAGTGCGGTCTTAGTGCCAGCATCAGATTGTGGTGGCAATGCCCTAATGCAATGCCCTGATGCATTTAGTGCTCAAATCTCAGACAACTGAACAGTGAGGTGGACAATTATTGTTTTAGGAAAGTAAAAACCAATAAAACAATAGGCTATAAAGTTTTGCATATGCTACAGATCAAAACACAAGGAATTGTGTTTTTGTAATTAGTTATAGGCTGTTTTTAAGGACATTGGCTCATTTGGCCAATATCCCTCGTTTATTGATGGCGCTGGCTGCGTTGGTGGAAAGCCTAATGGGTTACGCACCCAATCCATATGGCCCTTTGTAGGTCAGGTGCTTGCAATGCCAGGGTCGTGGGTTCGATTCCCAGGACCACCCATACGTAAAATGAATGCGTGCATGACCAAGTGGTGTCTGCTAAATTGAATATATTACATGACTAAGTGGTGTCTGCTAAATGGAATATATTAGATGACTAAGTGGTGTCTGCTAAATGGAATATATTACATGACTAAGTGGTGTCTGTTAAATGGAATATTACATGACTAAGTGGTGTCTGCTAAATGGAATATATTACATGACTAAGTGGTGTCTGCTAAATGGAATATATTACATGACTAAGTGGCGTCTGCTAAATGGAATATTACATGACTAAGTGGTGTCTGCTAAATGGAATATGACATGACTAAGTGGTGTCTGCTAAATGGAATCTATTACATGACTAAGTGGTGTCTGCTAAATGGAATATATTACATATTATATGACTGTAAGTGGCGTCTGCTAAATGGAATATATTACATATGGATGACTGGTAGATTTCTCAAAGGTTCGATAAATTGAAATCTTCCCGGTCACTTGTCCAGCGCAAAAACCCTGGTACATATCTAGGATCAGCTTCCCCCTCCCCAGTCATAACCATTAGTGGGGGAAATGCTAAACTGACCCCAGATCAGCATCTGGGGGCAACTTTACCCTACAGCATACTTACGCTGAGGTGATAGCCCGGTAGCGCTCCTGTCCTGCCGTGTCCCAGATCTGAGCCTTCACAGTTTTCCCATCCACCTGGATACTGCGGGTGGCAAACTCCACTCCGATGGTGCTCTTACTCTCCAGGTTAAACTCATTCCGGGTGAAACGAGAGAGCAGGTTGCTCTTGCCCACACCCGAGTCTCCTATCAGAACCACTGGAACACGAAAGGAATCACTGATGGATTAGATTCAATTCAATAAAATATTTTATTGACCCCAAAGGTCAGGGCCGGATTACACACACACTTCCATTTTTCTCTGCCTACGGGTTTGGCCCCCAGGGCTTCAGCCCCTGTAAGCCCCTGCATTAATCAGGCCCTGCCAAAAGGTCAACGTGTAGCAATTACATGGGGATATGACATAGTTACATCACGTGTAGCTACATAGACAAGATTCCATCACATAAAATATCTGACCACCACCATTCACTTTTGCAGTGACACAGTCAAAAATCAACAGTGGTGTGTAGCTAATTCTTAGTCTATGCTTTTTATGTTCAATCAGTTTGAAATAGACAACAACAAAACAGATAGCCACAACACATGACATCTGTGAAATTTAGACTAAACAGCACAGAAAAAAAAAACCAGGAAAGGATGATAATAACTTCACATTATTTATCTACGGATGAATGTAGCTAGATAATAACCAATGTTCGATGCATGTAGCCAAGCTAAGCAGCTGGCTAGCTAAACTAGCCATCTAGCTATCTCGGGAAACACCCCGACCTCACTTAATCATACAAAAGTCAGCTTTGTTTAGAAACAGCTGCAGCTAACGTTAGCTAGCTAGCTAGCTAACTAGCGAACGTACTAACGTTGGGCGTTTGGCTAGCTAACGTTGGCAATCCAACTGCTTTACAATTTGTGTTTATAATTTATCAATATGTATTTTTCGTTTATAAAACAAATACTGTGTCAATCCAGAGCTATTCACACGCCTGCTATATCATACTTCACAGACACAAATTAAAAGGATTGACACTAGCTAAACAGCTGGCTAGCAAACCTTAGCTAGCTTTGTTAGCGATAGCGAGAATCATGTTGTAATGTTACCTTTAAACAGATAATCGTATTCATCGTCTCTGGTTCCCATTTTCTAAAAGATAATTAGGAGTATTTCGTTTGTATAAGCTGTTTAAAATGCGACGATCTAGCAAATAGATTTTGAAACACTCAGCTAGCTAACGGCGACGGGGTCTGTTTTCAGACTGACACTTCCGGGATTTTGTTGTGACGTTTACTAGCTAAGGGAGGGGGAACAAGCCCCCCCAAAAAAAGCAAACCAAAGGCCAATATTCCTTGCTGCGATATGGATTGCAGACACTTCAAATAAAAAGACACCAGTGAAATAGTACTCCACCACAGAAAATAACCGCTACAGAGCATTGGTACTCTATTAAATACATAACATGTAACTTCTTAGACCACAGGGTTCTATGGTGTAATGGTTAGCACTCAGGACTCTGAATCCTGCGATCCGAGTTCAAATCTCGGTAGAACCTATGTTTTTTTTTTCTCGCTAACACGTCCCAGATACGGCGCAGATCCACAGAGAAGGCATGTTCTGACGGGAGGTGCCATCAGAAAGCCGTTCAAAATACACTACGTGTACAAAACATTAGGAACGCCTGCTCCTTCCATGACTGACCAGGTAAATCCAGGTGAAAGCTATGAACCCTCACTGATGTGAACTGTAAAATCCACTTCAATCAGTGTAGATGAAGGGGAGAAGACAGGTTAAATAAGGATTTTTAAGCCTTGAGACAATTGAGAAATGGATTGTGTGCGTGCCATTCAGAGGGTGAATGAGCAAGACAAAATATTTAAGTGCCTTTAAACAGGGTATGGGAGTAGGTTCTAGGCGCACCGGTTTGAGTGTGTCAAGAACTGCAACGCTGCTGGGTTTTTTATGCTCAACAGTTTCCCGTGTGTATCATCAATGATCTACCACCCAAAGGACATCCAGCCAACTTGAATCAAGAATGGTCCGCCACCCAAAGAACATCCAGCCAACTTGACACAACTGTGGGAAGCATTGGAGTCAACATCGGCCAGCATCCTTGTGGAACGCTTTCGACACCTTGTAGAGTCCATGGCCAGACGAACTGAGGCTATTCTGAGGGCAAAAAAGGGGGTGCAACTCAATATTAGGACGGTGTTCCTAATGTTTTGTACACTCAGTGTATACCTCCACATAAAAAACCCATGATACAAGCAAATATTGGATTTTAAGAATGATGAGATTTGCCACTAGGTGGCAGAATAGTCCTGATTAGGCTACCTTTCTAGTACTAACCTCAGCGGGGGAATTATAATTATGAGAGGATCTTAGGGCTAGGCTAGAACTAAAATATAAACGCAACATGTAAAATATTGGTCCCATGTTTCATGAGCTGATATAACAGATCCCAGAAATGTTCCATACGCACAAAAAGCTTATTCCTCTCGAATGTTGTGCACTCTATTGTTTAGCTCACTTCATGAACTTAATTTCTTTAAAATACAGCAGATTAACAGACTACGAATGACGTTCTTTCAAACATGAAGTTAAAATACTTCTTCACAAAATAAAATCTATGTGCTTGTTTTTAAAAAGGTAATAAAGATACATCCCTGTTAGTGAGCATTTCTCCTTTGCCAAGATAATCCATCTACCTGACAGGTGTGGACATATCAAGAAGCTGATTAAACAGCATGATCATTACACAGGTGCACCTTGTGCTGGGGACAATAAAGACCACTCTAAAATGTGCAATTTTGTCACACAACACAATGCCACCCACAGCTGCCTCAAGTTTTGAGGGTGTGTGCAATTGGAATACTGACTGCAGGAATGTCCACCAGAGCTGTTGCCAGATAATTGAATGTAAATTTCTCTACCATAAGGCACTTCCGCAACGTCGTTTTAGAGATTTTGGCAGTACGTCCCACTGGCCTCCCAACTGCAGACCACGTGTAACCACGCCAGCCCAGGACCTCCACATCCAGCTTCTTCACCTGCGGGATCGTCTGAGACCAGCCACCCGGACAGCTGATGAAACTGTGGGTTTGCACAACCAAATAATTTCTTCACAAACTGTCAGAAACCGTCTCAGGGAAGCTGATCTGTGTGCTCATTGTCCTCACCAGGGTCTTGACCTGACTGCAATTTGGCATCATAACTGACTTCAGTGGGCAAATGCTCACCTTCGATGGCCACTGGCATGCTGGAGAAATGTGCTCTTCGCTGATTGAATCCCAACTGTACTGGGCAAATGGCAGACATGTGTGAGAGCGGTTTGCTGATGTCAACGTTGTGAACTGCAAGGTGGGCTTATGGTATGGGCAGGCATAAGCTACGGACACGATGGCAATTTTAATGCACAGAGATCCTGTGACGAGATCCTGAGGCCCATTGTCGTGCCATTCATCCGCCGCCATCACATCATGTTTCATCATGATAATGCACGGCCCCATGTCGCAAGGATCTGTACACAATTCCTGGAAGCTGAATATCTTCCAGTTCTTCCATGGCCTGCATACTCACCAGACATGTCACCCATTGAGCATGTTTGGGATGCTCTGGATCGACGTGTACGACAGCGTGTTCCAGTTTCCGCCAATATCCAGCAACTTCGCACAGCCATTGAAGAGGATTGGGACAACATTCCACAGGCCACAATCAACAGCCTGATCAACTCTATGCGAAGGAGATGTGTCGCCCTGCATGGAGCAAATGGTGGTCCAGACCAGATACTGACTGGTTTTCTGATCCACCTCTACCTTTTATCTGTGACCAACAGAGCATATGCATATCTGTATTCCCAGTCATGTGAAATCCATGTATGAACTGTAACTCAGTAAAATCTTTGAAATTGTTTCATTTTATTAAATAACATAAATGAAATTGTTTTATGTTGCGTTTATGTTTTGTTTTTGTCTGGGGAATTAACATTTTCAATAACACTTCACATTAAGGTATACTTAAAATTATGTATAAATTGTATTATAGGCATTTTATATATACCCTATGCATTTTTATGTATTTAACCAATACTTGTGTAGGCTTGCAAGTCCGAATTTTACAATCAAAGTTGTATAACTTAGTTTGTAAAAAGATAATTATTAGTTTATATATAGTGTAGTTTATACATCTGTTACACGGCTATAACACAATGAAATGTTATTTTGGTGCTTTCCAAAATTGCATAGTGTGACCCGACAGCAGCCAAACAAACCTCTGTGCGTGTTAAAATGCGGTGAGCGACGGATTTCCCATCACAACCAAAATGGCGGAACACAGAGCCGGGTCGGCGCTATGAAGACAGCACGATAGAAATATTGTTGTCTATTTCGAGATATCAGCGGCCGATTAAAAATATTGACCGTTTTATAATGCCAGTGTGTTTTTGAAGAAATCCTGCCGAAGTTGGACGAGGAGGGATATCGCATTTGCTAGCGGAGTAAGTATGATGCCAGTTAAACCGTTATTTCGTGATGAGTTAATAAGGGCTTCTTAGCTACGAGTTAGCTAGCTAATGTCGTGTAACCAGCCGTAGCCAGGCTAGCTAGAGCGAACTGTGTTTTATTCCAGGCTGTCACTATCAGTTTAGTGGGGCACCCCTATGTGAATTTGAGCAGAATTCATGCAGTGAATTGACCGGATAACCTGTCCAGACAGACAGTACCAGCCCGTGTGGAGCGTTTGCTTGTTGTACCAGCGTCTGTGTCCGGCTTTAAAGCTGCCTTGTCATTGATATAGTAGCTAGTCAGCTTCTTTAATACCTTCATGCGAATGCATATGATATGCCAAAGGTTGCTGTCAGGCTGTCAAGGCGGTGGAAAACTGTGTACATAATGAATATAGTTAGCTTCATATTCCGTATCCGTGCTCCAGAGCATGGAATCACATTATGGGAGCCGTTTATAGAAGCCCACCTGTGGCACCTCAGGCTCTCTGGCGCGGCGCAACATGTTGTGAAGGCAAGCAAGCGGTCAATGACCGACTATGACCCTATGCAGGGACATAAGGATTGACTGAATGGTTATATAGTGCACATTTTAGTGTCACAAATAGATTTTTGCCTTGGACTATAATAATGTAATGTGTGGGTCAGGTCGTCTTAAAATGAAGCTAAATATCATCCTCTGTCAGATAATAATTTAAGCGGGGAGAATTCCATGCGTCACTTCTGCTTGGCAGAGCTATGCAGTTATTTTCAGCAGGCTTGATGGTGTACAAACGGAATACAACATTAGCTACTTCCTCAAGATTGAGCCAAATGTATGTGGTTTTTGACTGAGGAAACAGAGTTGATCCTACTGTTTAGATTGAGCTGAAGTGAGTATAGTGGAAAAGTGATTTAGATGTTGTATTCACTGTGATTTATTAACACGTGTTTTTAGAGCTATATATCTTATATTATGTAAAAATGCACCAATTTGTAAGTCGCTCTGGATAAGAGCGTCAGCTAAATGACTTAAATGTAAATGTAATGTCTTGAAGGTGGCAAAAAAGTATGCTGTTGTGCTGTGGAAACAGCTGTATGGCAAGCAGATGTGGAAAAGTGTGCTGATACATCAGGGAGCCTCAGTTCATCGATGTGTAAAAACTTCTCCAAATTCTTGCATGCTTTCTTGCATACTGGAATGATGAGACATCAGATATGAGTTAACTTTAGGCTATTTAGATGGATTTTATGATGTATGTCCTCATGAGAGATTTAATTGGTCACACAGACCGGACAGACCAGTCAAGTCAAATCATACCGTCACACTCTGACAGGAAGATAGACAAAACCTACTCCTGTGATTTGGAAACCTCAGTGGCACACATACTAGAGAGGTGTTTACATACCCTCACTCACTCAGTAAACTGCACAATTCCTCTTCTGGAGCCAGTCAACATTCTAGATTCAATCCAGTCAACATTCTAGATTCAATCCAGTCAACATTCTAGATTCAATCCAGTCAACATTCTAGATTCTATCCAGTCAACATTCTAAATTCTATCCAGTCAACATTCTAGATTCTATCCAGTCAACATTCTAGATTCTATCCAGTCAACATTCTAGATTCTATCCAGTCAACATTCTAGATTCTATCCAGTCAACATTCTAGATTCTACCCAGTCAGCATTCTAGATTCTACCCAGTCAGCATTCTAGATCCTACCCAGTCAGCATTCTAAATTCTATCCAGTCAACATTCTAGATTCTACCCTGTCATATTCTATGTTATTCTATCCTTT